ATATGTTGTGGTTGATTTTCCTTGCTGCATTTTGTTGTTCTCTGTTGGGATGGTTAGGGGATAGGCAGTCATGCTTAAGCTATGTTAAGATTTATGTTTGAAGATGTGTGTGCGTTTGAGTCATGAATGATGAATTTTGTGCGATGTTCTCGGCATTCCATCCATGCGAGTATCAAGCTGTAAAAAAAATTGCAGCAGGGCAAAGGTTGCCGCACCTACTTTGTAGTTTTCCTTGTCCGTAACCATGCACTAGGCTTTAGCCTCTTCTAATCTGTTAGTTAGTCTTGTGTAGAAAGGGGGGAGTGGAAGTATGGTGTTGTGTTTGCATGTTTGGATCTAAAAAAAAACACTTGAATCATGTTTGAATGCTAGCTGGAAAAATAGACAATCAGGTTACCGAACCATCTTTGCATGAATGTTTTTTCCAGAATTGTGCATGATATCTTTCTAAGTTTCTTGCTTGTTTGAATCATGGTGGTGGTATAGTTTGTGGCTTGGTCTAAAGTTGTGATGTTGGGTTGAAAAATATCGGATCAAAGCTGTGAATTTTGAATCAAAAATCTAAGTTTTGAAAACAAAGTGCAGCAGTTTTTCATTTTTGGTTGTTGAAGTTTAAAAATCAGTTGCATAAGCTTCTTGTCTTCGTTCATTGCATGAAACTTGCATGATAGTCTTCCAAGAGTCCCATTGTTTAATTGGAAATGGATTAAAGTCTTGTATGTATCTTGTTTGCCGAAGGTTTCATGGGATTGTAAAAGCTCTTGAATGAAAATTGCAGCAAGCTTGGAAGCAAAAGGCAGCAGGCTTCATTTTTAGTTGCAGAAATTTAAGCCTTTACGTAGTTGCATGGAACTTGCATGCAAATGGCTTTCAAAAATTGCACCTTGACCCCTAGTTTGCTAAGCAATGCTACAAAGGCCCAACTATGTTCTATTTTCTTGCGATTAGGTCCTAGAATAATTGTAATTTGAACCACTACGTGATTATTTCTTTGCTTATGGGCCTTTGAAGTTTTCCAAAATGTTTAAATTGGGTTTGAGTGATTGGTTAAGTATTTTGCAATTGGGTCCTTAGTAGAGTTTCTATTTTAGAAATTTGCTCAATAATTATTTTCTCGGAAATTATGCATTATTTGATTTCATTTAAGTTGCAATTGGGAGGGATTTGGTGAATTTGTTTATACTTTACTATTTAATTGGTGCCTTGACCCTTTTATTGTTTTGAAACTAATATTTCCTTCATTCCATTACCATTGCAAGGGAGGTAACCTCTATTTCCTTGGTTTATTTCTCCTACGTGCTCCTATGTGTTTTGTGTGAATATACATGCTTTAATTCGCTTTTCATTTTATGTTTAATTGCCTATCTCGCTTTCTTTTTATTTCGCCTTCTTTAATTGGCAATTCATTTGAGGGCATTTGAACCCCAATTTGTAATAGCTAGGGTTTTGGCACCTCTCTTGAAGACATGTCTTAGCTAGCCAATGTAATAGTTAGGATTTACTTCTCTAAGTCTTCCCCCTTAGATTGTAGTAGGCATCCCCTTATGTAATAGATAGGGCTTATGTGCTATGTGCTTGTGTGTGCCTATGTGTTTATCGCTTTCCTAGGCCTTTGCATCTAGATATGCATGCTTACGTGTTATGTGAATTACGTGCTTACATGCTTACTTGCTTTAACTGTGCCTACTTACTTGTATATATATGGTGAATGCAAATGCACGTTACCGTGACTAGTCCAATGCTAGTCATGGTTTTTGTGACAGCCCCACCTCTCCCTAGGGCAAACCCTAGGATATCAGCGGACTGCCTGCCCAACTCTCGCCAGGACTCAGCCGTTCAAAGTACTAATATCATCAATGAAACGAATGTAACATTTGACAATGCAGGGGATTGAAACACTAACTCAAACATAATCACTAATCCAACAATTCAGCTTAGTACATATATCATCACATGCCAACTTACCACGCTTCACTCAAAATTACATAATAGAAATCACCCTTAAGAATTTAAGCTTACAAGTTTGCTTAAACGAAAGTTACAACCTCAAAACGCAAGAACGGCAAAATAAAGCTAAGAAATCCCTCGATCAAATCCCTTCCTGATCTGTTAAGGAAAACAAAGGGAATGGGGTGAGCTAAAGCCCAGTGAGATTCCAGGTAAACAAGTAAACACATAGCCACATAAAATCACAAAATAGCCAACTAAACACCGTACAGTAAAATAACAGTTTAATCACAGTTCAATTCAAGGATACGGGTGGCTTTCAAAAGCTAAAGGTCCACTTGAGCTTGATCATAATTGCCTCCTGTTGACACTCCGTCAACACTTGTAACAGTATATAGGTCCGTAGAACACCACTTTCACCCGTCTCCGTCCACCAAACAACCCTCCCACCGGGCCCGCACTCCATAAACAATAGTTTGGTAATACTCGAGTATACCAGGAATCCGAGTTTCCAATGCTCAAGGATTCCAATGAAACAGTATCAAGCCGAGGATTTTATCACTGGTGGTGCTGGACAACACAACAAGCAAGCACAATGGCTATGCTTCACCAGGGACCTCCAAGCAAGATTCAATTTCCAGTGAACAGTAAACAGTCCTCAAGGTTTATCGGCCTTCTCGACCAAGCCCTTGCTGGCTCGATACAACCGACTCACCTATGAGGTTGGGTACCCAAACAGTAACAGTAGTTGGTGGAATGTCATCCACGCAACTTAAGCACAGTCATGTATAGCAATATCTCATTTCATGTTAATTCATTCAGTAAGTAGAGCCTCAGTGAAAAGAAAAAAAACAAGGAAGGTCGAGTGCGATAAAGTACACACTCGCCTCAATTTTAATTAAAATAGTGTTTGGCTCAACCAATAACAATTCAATACTTTCAAGTACACAAATATTTCACATAACAAGCAGCAGGTAGTGGAACACTCACCTGTCAAGCAAAAGTAATAATCGACGTCAAATGTCTCAGTTACGATCACCGTCGTTGCCCAAACCTAGGTCAACGAGTGCAAGCATTAATAATTGGATTCGTTCCCTACTAAAGTATAGGTTCATTAAAAGGCCAAGTGAGTAGCTTAAGCTACTTAATCCGGCATGCAAATAGGGTCTAAACCACGGTGAAAGTTCATGGAAAACAAATCTAGTATGTACATGAAAGTTTGGCAAAAGAAAAGTTTCACTAAAGCTCAAAGGCTTCATTACGGTTTAAACTGTCTCGCCCGGCCAGCCTCGGTAAAACAGTCATTGCTCATTGTGGGAAAGTCAGAATTAGGTTCCGTCAGTTGCATTGGAAACTAGGTTCATAAGGGTAAATTTTTTTAGAAGAAACCATTTCCAAAATCCCAACATAAGTGGCTCAAAATTAAGAAACCAAATGAACTTTCTGGACTGTCTCGGATGAACAGTACCGCCCGGACAGCCAACTTTCTAGACTCGCCACGGATCGCTCGGGATGAACCAGAAAATGAGCTTTGTACCGTTTTAAAGCTCTAAGAGTCTACATTCAATTACCACAAACAGCACTCAATTCCAAGCAGTGAGTAACACGTTATGACCTTAACAAGATTGCTGGACAGAACATTTCTGGACCTAGTCCAGCTTTCCTCCTTGTTTATAACTCAAACTTTATTCAACCAAATTGGCTAATTTTTTGTAGACAAACTCCACACACATAACCCAACATATAACACTCACTTTTGTAGCCAAAATGTGCATGAAAATATCAAGGAAAAACCAGGCAGCAAGCTTAAAAGGTTTCGGTCAGCACACTTTAAAAATTTCTAACTTCTACTCTTCTTGTTATTTTCATTCCTTGCACATAACAAGTATTAGATCCAACTAAATAGGGGTTTCAAACATATCAATACTTCATAAGCACACATGAATAAGGGTTAGACATTTCATCAAACACTTGGTATGCATATTAGTAAACCTAACCATTACTTGATTAACTCAAGAAACTAACCCCAAATTCAACCATAACAAGTTGTTTTTCACCATTTCAACCTCAAGTAGATGATATAACATCATAAACACAAATTTTAAAGATTACATACCTTACTTACAAGTTGCTTTGGTCACCAAACAAACCACCACAATAGAAGCTTTAGGCTTGAAACAACCTCAAAGATTGAAGGAAATTTTCTCACAAACTCTAGATCTTTCTCTTTTGGTTTTTGTTCAAGATCAAACTAAGGTTGTCATAGCAAGAAGATGGAGTTTTCTTCCTCCCCTTGGAAGCCCTTAAGGTGGACGAAATTTTGGAGGAAAATGAAGCAAAGTTGGTTTAAAATTCCTCTAATCCTTTGGTCAAACAAGATACATGGCTAGGGTTTTGCCACATGGCTCCATTATTGTCCTAACCTTTCTTAATCTTTGACTAATGCCATTCTTACCTTTCCAAATGCACCAATAATTATTCAACACCTCAAATCTCTCACATAAAGTCTCTACCACTAATAAAAGAACACTTGGACAATTACAAGTGATGAATTATTTACAACCTAGCTCAAGGAAATATTTTACTTCAAGTAAAATGAATTGAAATGAAATGCATGGAAATTATTATAACACATAGAAAATAATTTGTAAGGGCATATATTAAATGGTCTAGATCTTATAATAAGGCATGTAAATAAGAAAATTTTGTTTTAAAGTGAGGGTCAATACAAGGGATTTGTTGTAACACATTGTGAAATATAATGCTAGGGCATATAAGAGATGGTTTAAATCTTGGTGCAAGGCATGTAGTTTGTGTGGCGACCCCACTTCCCCCTAAGGCGAACCAGAGGGTTGGCGGGCCGTCTGCCCAACTCTCGCCAGGACTCACGCAAGCAGCTAGCAAAAGTCCTTCCGAAGTATAACCTAATCTATTGCAACATCGTTTCCTTCCAAATAGGCCGGTCTCTAGAATCACATAAACTTCAGAGATAGCAGTGCCTTAAGATAGCTAATGCCGATTCTTAAAATACCTTCCCGATTACAACCCAAGAAACAAAACATATAATTCAAATACATCCTTATAAGCCAAGTAACAAATTTCATACAAGCCACATACAAATTCAAGGGTTACACTTTTCCAGCTTCAAGTGGCAACCCGAAACAAAAGCTACATTGTTTAATTCAAACTACATGCTTAAAGTACAAGTAGATCTCAAGTCTTCCTCAGTTGTCAGAACCTGTAAACGAAAACCACAACGTGGGATGAGCTACACAGCCCAGCGAGGTTCCAAGACGCTCTAACAGTTCAAATAGGTCAAGTAAGTTATGCATATCGTATGCATGATTCTAGATTACACAATGGCATGTTACCATGAGGTGATAATCATTACACGGGTAATTGCTACTTTGAAAACACATGTAGAACTAGTACTTTTGGAATGAATGGCCATATAAATATATTTTCATAAATTTTCAGTCAAACAGATAGTGGCTCGTCCGACTAGAAGAACATTACAAGGATTGCTTCATCTCAGAGGTTAATGCTCATGAGGAGTCTTACCCGAGAATGCCAACTAGGAGAGCAATAACATTATAATAGCAAAGCAAACACAAAAGGATACGGTGTTCCAGTGGAACTTTGTCGGTCATCTGCACCTTATAACTCCCGGATCTCCACGGTTGACTGGCCATCACCTTATCCCTCCAGTGGTAATACTCGAGTATACCGAAACGGTTGTCCAGGGTTCCAACCTACCCGACCGAACCCAGTCCTGGCTCGAGTAGGTCAGTAACCGAGGCGGGGCCCAAGTTCAGCTTATAGCTTACAACATGCACAGGTAACAAAGTAATTCGACAAAAGTAAAATTCATCATTTGAATAGGTCGAGGGAGGTAAAGTACACACTCGCCTAACAATGATGGACAACTTCATATGAGCATATAATTTATGATAATCAAGTAATCAGTAACCACATATATTAGAAAATGGTAAGTAAAACACGGTTAACGGTAAACGATAAACGGTAAACGGTAAACGGTGGTAATTACGGTTAATTGGTAGACATATGTCATTCTAATAGGCCGCCATTGGCCGTTTTGCACTTTTACCACGTAAGAGTCGAGGAGATTCACACCAACGACGTTACTACGTTTTGATTCATGAGAAAATGTTTTACGGTGATGATTCACGAGTCGAGGGATTCACCCAACGACGCAACCACATTTAGATTCACAGATTCATTAGTTATGGTAGTTGATTCACGAGTCGAGGGATTCTCCCAACGACGCAACCACATTTAGATTCACAGATTCATTAGAAAATATTTCACACACTTCACCACTCGAACGGCTAGTGTGATAAAGTACACACTGTGCACTTCGATGGATCGGAACTCATTTTCCAAATTGTCACATAACGAGTCACAAGAGCACTTTAACCAAATAAGCATAAAATAAGCAGGCTAAGCACATATTGAGTTTACAAGATTATTTGATAGGGTTAATCATTTAACCAATTCATGTCGATATGCAATGCATATATATATTTCTTAAATAGGCACGAGTATGGTAAATACTTAACGATCATGAAATGAGCATGTCCTAGACTTACTCAATTACGTATTCTTGTATGGAACACTCACCTAGTCAAACAAGGGCAATAGGTTCAATTTGAAGTTCAAGCGTCCTCTGTCGGATCCTCTTAAAGGTCCTCGTGTGCGCCTGAACGAATAGTAATAGTCTATCATTTACAATCCCTACTATTGTTGAAAATCGTGTCATAGTACAAACTTAGGAAAAATCTCGTGAACAAGTCTTAATTATCCTAAATCTAAATTCTCAAGCGGGGTTTCAAGGTACAAGAGAAATTAGGTCTACATCATGAAATTCAAGGATAAGACATTTGAATATTATCGAAGGAATAAGGAGTACTTGAAAAACTCCATTTCCTTGGAATACGGAAAATTTCAGTTTTGATGCAATACTTTGAAAAATCGTAACTCACCTTTTACATGTCCAAGATTAGAAAACTTGGTACCGTTGGAAACTTCCTTCAAAATGCTAAAAGTTCCTAGAATACACTTTTTCATGATTCTAAATGGAAGATAGTCAAAATGGGCTCAAAGTTACTGTTTTGGTTCATAAGGCAGATTTAAGTTAGTTTTTGGCCAACTTTGGAAATTCGGCAAAATTCACTTGTTTGGAAATAGCTTTTGAAATTTGCAACTCTATTAGTGTTGTAATTCAAGAGTATAACAAAACAAACGGAATGAGGAACGGAGTTTTGAACACCAAGATACGGTAGCTCAAAGTTACTAAAATTTTGTTGTTAAACAAGGGTTTTCCAATATCAAGTCTCGAACTTTGGTAATTTATTTGACCCATGAATCGGTCTCGGAATAACACCATAATTAGCAGTATAATACTACCATATAAGGGTTGTTCCTCTACCAAATTTCATGGAAAAATAACTTCGGAAAGGTGGTCAATCAAACACCTAAATTTTCGCAAATACTAAGACAAAACTGCCTTGAACCTTTTGTTTTTCCATTTCAGACATTTGGTCAAAGAAAATTCCTCCAAACCTGGTTCATTTGTTTAGGCAAAACTTAAAGAACGTTCATGGTACATTTGGTAAGTGTTTAGCATCAAAATATTCAGTTAGCAAGTCTTTGCCAAACCTTGCATCAAATCTGTCTAAAAATCAGGGTTTTCAAGGACAAAGCAGGTTTCACATTTTGATCACATATAACTCAAATTAACTCGGAATTTGGCATGGTTTAAGGCATTGGAAAACACATTCATAGACCTATAATTTCACAGAAGAAAGCATTTTGAAATTCTGTGAGAACCCGTAAAACCCTAATTATTTTCCTAGGGTTTATTTCCCCTTAATTGCATGTTTTCTGCATTTTCTGGCTTAGAAATATTTTCTTAGTGGATTTTATGAGCAATTATAGTTTTAAGATGATTTTTCTAACATTGGAGAAATTTTAGAAAATTAAGAGTAAATAGTGGACGTGGGACCCACTAGTGCGAAAAGTTCGGAAAAATTCAGCCAATTAGGTTAAATTCCGGATACTGTGTGAAATTTATCGGGTGTTAAGAGATAAGTAGAATGTGTGAAGTGATTGATGTGAGAGGGAAAAAGAAAGATAAGAATGCATTAATGAGTGTGACAAGTGTCACAATATGATTGGGTGGACTTTAAGAAATACTATTCACATTTTTGACTTTTTTGACCAAAGGATTAAATATAAAAAAAATGCCCAAAATTCACCATTTTTCTCTTCCTTGTGGCCGGCTCTCTCCTTGCAAAGAAGAAGGAAATTCCACCAACTTTCAAGCTTCCATAAGCTTCAATCTTCCATAAACAAAAGCTTAGACTAGATTTCACTCCATAAAATCCTATCTTCTAGTGCTAGTAAGGGTTGTAGTGAAGTTTGTTTGAAGAGCTAAGTGTCCAACACCTCTCTACATCTCTTGTTTCTTGGTAAGTTATGCTTGAACACCCTACTACACCTAATGATGGTATTAATATGCTTAGAAGTGGCTTGAGTGTTGGAATATGTGATTTATCTCTTGATTTGGCTTGTTTTGGTGAAGTTTTTATTTTATTGGGAATTTTCTGGTTTAATATGATCTTGATGTTGTGGCCTTGTATGATGAATGGTAATGGTTTAAAATGACTCTAGTAGGTGTGAATTGTTGATAAATGCAATCAATTTTGGATTTGGATGGAAAAATGGAAAGTTAGGGTTCATAAACCCCTAATTCTGTCCGGTTTTGGATCATAGGGTTAGACGCCGAATTGGACTTTACTCAAAACATGAAAGTTGTAGGTATTGATGAGTTTGATGTGCCTGTAAAATTTCAGGTCATTTGGATTAGTGTAGAGTGAGATATGACGAAATTACTGTAGCTGTTCTGCTTTGATCAGAATGCGAAAACCGCGATAGTAATTGGCCATTTTGACTGGAATTGGTTTGGATTTTGGAGTTGGTGTCTTCTGATGAAATTTATCTGGATGCCTTAGCTAACTTATGCCTTTGGAATTTCGGCATTTGGACTTGTATGGACTGAGATATACCGATTACAGTTTTCTGTGTTTTGCAAACCTGTTTTGGTGATTCTGGTTTAGTGTTTTGCATTTTTGACCTAGTTGGGTCAGGAACTGGATTGAGTGACCTTCTACATTGTTGTAGCCCTGTTCCATAGCTTCGAAACGGTGGGTCTTACACCCCCATCCGATAATTGTAGTGAGAGTTGTGCCATTACCGCATTATGACGTCAAAACCGGTTTTCTTATCAAGGCCTAAGTTAAAGCCCTTTTCTTAATTTCTGGTTTGCTATCATGCTTGTATATGTTTATAAAACCCTATTGGGGTTGTAATTGGCATGGCTATATGGCTCGGTATCGAGTCTCATTGAATGTGTTACATGTTTTAGGACGTGACGGTAGCTCACGACGTCTTGGTGATCACGGTGTATGAAACACCACTTTCTTGCTTGGTGAGTATACTACTCACTTACTTGTTATAATGTGGCTTTGCTATGTGTATTTGATGTCTTGAAGGCTTAATTGGTTATTGGAAGTGATTGAGGTGAGGGTGTACTTGACCGCCCTCACCCCTTGTAATTTCCTTCATGGCTATTTACCGTTTTACTGAAATACTGCATTTGTTATATGAGATACTGAATTCCATGCATGGAAACTGATTTGGTGTCGTTGGACGAGTATCCAACGGCTTTACTGCATTACTGAGCTCAACCCCGTATGGTAGTAAATTGGATCGAGCCGGCGAGGGCTTGGTCGTGAAAATCATCATGCCACGGGGACTGTACTGGGGAACCTTGTGGTAATGAGACCCTTGGTTCCGGTATACTCGAGTATTACCAAAACTACTGAAATGGAGTGCGGGCCCGGTTGGGGTATGTTGGGTGGAAGGATTGGAAGTAAAGTGTGTGAGAACCCAGAAAAAAAAAATTTATTTATTTATTATTTTATTCCTGTGCACCGTTTTCTTGTATTTTCTTTATTATATTACTTTTATCAACATTTTATCAGTAAATATAGTTTTTAAATCATTTTTCTAGTATAAGGTAGTTCGTGAGAAATTTGGAACGTATTTTGGACGTGGGACCCGCTAGTGCATTTAGTGAGAGAGATTCGGCCGATTCGGTTAAATTTTGCATAAAGGGATTTTATTACTAGGTGTTAGGAGATGATTAGAAGTTACCTAGATGGATTAGGCCATGAGGGGCAAGAGGATAACTATAAGCAAGACAAAGTGCCAAGTGTCCAATCTTGGTTGGACCAAGCTTGCCTAACTTTTGACTAAATGTTCCTTACTTTATTTAAAGTGTAATTTTGACCAACAAGTCTTCATTCTTCATCTCCTCATAGCCAAACCTCTCCAGCCAAGAAGGAAAAACATTCTTCAACCTTTCATCTCCAAATCCTTGCTCAATCTTGAAAATCAACGATTGTTTCTTGAATTAGTCCGTAGAATCATCTTGCTAGGAGGGTTTGAAGACCTTGGTGGTGTTGTTTTGGAAGAAAACTCTCTAAGCTTCAACCTTTCTTGAAGAACTAAGGTATATTGCTTGGAACTCATCTTTTGTTTCTAATTTTGGCCAAATGGTGCCTTATAGTAGCTATATACGTGATTGTACGGAAGATTTGGTGGATTGGAGTGAAGTTTCCTAATTTTCTGATTTTTCTTGGAATTTTTCTGGTTTCATATGATGGATATGATTGGGTTTGATTTGGTGGTTCCAAATGGTGTTTTATAGCTCACTTGTGCGTTAATTGTAGTTAATTGCGGAAAATTGCCGCTTGTGCGGAAAATTTCAGATTTAGGGTTTCAATTGGGGCTTTGCTATGGTTGATTGTTGAGCTTCTAATTGGCTAGTATTGAGGGGTATTGTGACCCTAATGAAGTATATTGAATGCCTTATGAATTGTTTGGGTGCTTGTGGTTGTGTTGGATGGTTTTTATTGGTGTCTTGTAGGTTGGAAAAGCTGAAATTTTAGGGGAAATGCTGTCCGAGTGTCTAGGGCATTGGATCCTTGTGAGTTGGGTTGAGATTGACTAGAAATGAATAATTTTAGGGTTGTTTCTACTTTTAACCCTAAATATTATGTATTTTTCATTTCCAAGCTATATTTGGGTTTTACCTTAATAGTTCCTATTAAAAGGTATTCGACTCGTGTTTGAGTCTTAATTGTACTTTCTTGATTATTATAGGGCGTGCCGGTGATCCGAGGCTCACGTCGAGCGAAAACTTGTGAAATTTCTTTGTTTGACTTGGTGAGTGTACTACTCACATATTTGTTATTCCGTGGCTTTCTTGTACTTGAATTCTGTGTTTTGGACTAGTTGTGATGATTGTTTGGACTAGGTGAGGCGAGGGTGTACTTTACCACTCTCGTACTCTCTGGCCTACTTGTTTGGTTATGATATAACTTGAATACTCTTGACTGTTTATTATATCACTTGAATACTCTTGAATGTACTTGATTTGGTGTCGATTGGATACCATTGCTTACTGTATCTCTGATCCTTTACTGTTCACTCTGAGCTCTACCTCATTGGAAGTCAATGGACTCGAGCCAGTAAGGACTTGGTCGGGGACATTTGACAAGCCATGGGGACTGTATTTTGGGAATCTTTGGGTATGAGTGTGAGGACTCACAAAATCCTTACATATTTCTCAAAAATTCCCTTTTATTTGAAAATTATTTGAAAATTATTATTTCATGTTATTCATGGTTCAATCACCCTAGAAAAGTGCCAATGACCATAGGAAATTAGGGTTTTCCTATTCGTTTTCAATTCAAGGTGAAA